GGAAATTTAAATATTGCAACAGAAACCTGAACTGAGCTGTGATCCTGAAGTTGAAACAGATAACACAGCAAAGGGAGCATCTGTTCATTTTTTGACAACTTTGTCAAGACTTAAAATAGGATAAAGGAACTAACCCTGTAACTTTGATTAAAAAAAAAAACCTTTATTTTTCAGTAGTGGAATGCTGCAGAAGTTTTTTACAGTTTTAATAATTGCTTTTAAAGTACAGTATTCAATTGAAACATTGTAGTATGTACCTTTAGTTCCTTTTGCATACCAGTCTCAAGTAAAGTCATTGAAGGGAGTCTTATTTATTGAATACATTTTCTCTAAGCATGATGTTACAGATGGAACTTGAGTTGTTATACCCAGAGGTTTCTATGTTGAAAGTTTATTGCTTATGTAATAAAAAAAAGGAGAAAAAGAAAAAAAGTGCCTGAATTGTTTGGTAATAGCACATTAGCTCAGGATTTTCCAAGTAATGACCTTTTAGGTTGTGCAATAGATTTTACACCTCTGTTCAGTCATTTCCGTAAAACAGTATTTTGTATTACTTTTAGTTTAATAATATACTTGGGTTTCTGATGTGTATATACATTTGTAAATTGTTAGAATGTTGGGACAACTTTCAGTATTTGATTAAAATGAATGGTAACAGGCAGGTATGTAATGTACTGTAGCAGTAGCTTATAACTGCACTGAAAGCATGCTTGGGTTTGTTAGAGGATTAGTTGGTCTGTATTCAAAATTACTCTGTCTCATTATATTTTGGTGTATGACATTCTTGACGAAGCCACGTGTTCTCTAATCTTTTTTGTCATAAATGACTCGGTGATTTCCTGGATTCTGAAATTGGGGCCTGAAGTATTTAATTACAAGAAAAACAAAAAAACGTAAGTTTTCATACGCATGTCTTCTAACAAAGCTGTTCGTAATTGAAACTGCTTTAAATGCTGATAGCTTGTAATTTTGTTCAAAATCCCAGTAATTCTCTGAAGTTTTTTGTGTTGCAATATTGTTAGGCTCTGTGCAACACTTAAATAACCAAACATTTTATAAGCAGCTATAAACAATATTGTGCTTATTTCCTGTTTATAACCCTTGCCTTAATATATAATATGATAGGATTGTGTGTATGTATTACAGACTTGTTCAGACTTTTTATTGCTGGTAAATTAAAGATGCATAGCAAGTAGTTTTCAGAGATGTTCTTATTTAAGAAAAAAGCTGTTCACCATATCCATGATATATGCAGGCTGATGTGTTTCTATCATTTCCAAGACAGTGTTAGCCATATAGAATGCAGACTAGTCTCTTGTGGATAGTGGATCGGAATTCTAATACTGGGTAGAGGTATGTTCAGAGAAAAGGAAATCTGTTTTTTTGGGTGGAAAATCAGGATGTGATTTCTGCATGCTTTTTTGTAATGTTTTTTTCCACAACGCCTTTAGCAGAGAGACTATTTAAAAGTGTAGGTATGGCTCAGAACAGCTAAAATAGTGTTACTTAAAATCTTCAATTCATGGGGTGTACTGCTTAGTTTTCATAGGGAGTAAGCAAGCAGGAAGCGTGCCATGTTCATTGATGTTGTGGTCATTCAACAATGACACCAGATGGTTTGTTTCTAAACCCCAAGTTCTCAGTTTAAATAACAGTCATTAATGATTCAGCTGGTTTTATAGTAACTTTGACATGCATCCACCAAATAGAAAGCTAAAGGAAAGAAATTGCCTGGTCAGATAGGGCCAGGCAACTTTCTGCAGATAAGAAAATACTTATTTATGCTGTCGGCAATGAATCTGGCAAAATCATCCTGTGTAGATTTATTGGGAGGTGAAAATAAGGAATTGAAACAACAGGTTAAGTGAGTCAACCCAAAGCAAATGTGTGCGGTAGCTGCAGTTGAGTAGCTTGCTGGCAGGGGGGTGCTGCATGCACCCTGCAGATGAGGGCAGGTTTGTCCTCAAGCCGACAAGCTATTCACACCGCACCTCAATGCACTAAAGCACTGTAAAACAGGTAAGAAGTGAAACCATATATGATATAGGACAAACTACTGAAGCTATATTGTCTTATTCAACAGGATACTACTGTTTCTGTTAAGCTTCCTGCAGTGTTCTTATTAAAGCCTGGAAGAGAACTCGTTGAGCAAATGGGAAAAGTGGATACATGAAGAAACTTCTGACGTGGCAGGTTTTGCTAACACTGCTTGGAAGTAATGCTGAAGTAGTCAGACTTCAGTCAGTTAATGCTGCTTTAACGAGGTTCAGAAGTGTGACTGGCTCCTCTGATTATGTACTTTCTTATTTTACCTTTGCATGACTAGGTAGCTCTAATTTGTTTTATACTTTTAGTATTTTACTACAGTTTAGCTTTGTTTTTTACTTCTACAACTGTGAACAACACACTAGAAATGGGGGGTTTTTTTGGCATGTTTACTGACTTTGATTCCCCTCCTCCCACCAACCCACCCTCGATCCCAAGATGAATGTCATATGATGAAATGTAGTCAGTGTTTCAGTTGCTTTAGCTTTTATTTAAGGTGATACCATTTGCTCAAATCACATGCTTTACCGATAACTTTACTTCACTAATTTAGCATTCTGTCATGATAAAACTTCCTATGTTTCATAAAATTCGTACAGAAATTGAATTCTGTGACTGGCTTAGGTGCTAGAGGCATCTACTGTGGTGTTATCTGTTGTGAGACATTGCTGTGTAGATTTATATTTGTGAATTAGAGACTTGTGTCTATATACTCATACACAAATCAGCTTATTTATTCTTCTAGCACAGGAAAATTCTGTTGTACTGGAATATAATGTTTGATTGAGAACAATGTATTAAGTTACCGATTGGGTTGTGAAGGCACAAGAAAAAGAAGAAGAACGGTCAATTTACTTGAATAACGTGGTGCCTTTCTGTATTGTGACTGTGTTGCAGAAAACACCTGCACAAAGACTTAAGTAATATCCTGATTATTGCATTGTGTCTAATGGGAGCATAGACTAATAACAGTTGTTTAAAATAACCAATTTAAATGTGTGTGTAAGCTTCAGAAGGAAAACAGTGTCTCTTGTAAAGTCCGTCGCTGCATTTGCATTGGAAGGGCAAGTAAAAAATGTGATTGTCTAAGAGCTTTCTAGCTTTGTTTTATACTTTGAAAATATAAATGTGAATTGCCTTTCTTTTGGTTGACTTGAAATGACTGTTAAATTCTCATGTCATATTTTCAATTGTTCACATGTGAAATTGTTTTTTTAATTGCTATCCAAAATGCAATGGGTTTAATATGACTAGAGTCTTCCTTATAAGTGTCTGAAGTGATAACTTGTTGTGATTTTAGCATTTATTTTGGTGATTCATTTAATCCCTACATAAATTGGTTAGAATCCTCATTTAAAACTTTGTGACAATTGAGTTCACAAGGTTAACAAAATTCTGAGGTTAGTAAGTAGCAACACATTGCAGGGCTTCTACAAGCCTGCCTTAACTCTAATAATCACATGTTTAAAATCACCTTACCTGATGGATTTAGATGGTCTCGAGATCTGGACATAACTGTCTCAACTCAGGTAACTGATAGCAAAGGATGGGAGTAAATTCAGCTGATCACCGGTTGTAATAACAGTTTACCTGCTGCCTTCTCTCCCAAGGCCTCGAGGTGAAATGCTGAATTTTCTTCATATGAACTTAGTTGCTTTAAAACAAAACAAAACCCAAGATTACACTTTTGTGGCATTAAAAAAGGCAAGGTTCTCAAAACTTGCTTGTTATGCATTGGAAAGTCATTTCTGCTATGTCTTGGAAATGAGTAGTGAGAGTTGCTTGGAGAAGATGATTAAAGATTATAGCAAAGAGAGACTTGATTTCTCAGTATTCACCTTAAAAGACTGTATATAGAGGGAGATCTTTAAATGTCCTTGCTCTCTGAAGGGATCTTTTCCCATGCTGTGCAGAAACATGTTTCTTGCCTTTAAGCATCTGAACAGCCATCTACAAACTTCTCTACGGGAGAGCTCTCTAAAAGAAAGACTTCAGACTTGCATCCTAATGAATCTGAAAAAAAAAAAAAAAAAAGAATGTTTCTGCACATAACTCTGGCCCTTGACAGACTTCATTCCATTGCTGCAGGATTTGAAGATGAGAGGTTCTTCAGCCTCCTTATGAAGGAAAATAATAATGATAATAAAAGCCATTTCAAGATCTTTGAAAGCCTACTTTTAACACTTGACTTCTTAATAGACCTTAAGGACATTGATGAACGTTTAAGTGTGTTCTGTTTCAAGCTTAATTTTCATTAATTTTCATTGTTAGCATAAATTTTCAGTGTTAAGATCAGAGAAAACTATTGTCATAACACCTGCCCCTTTCTTCCGTGCCTGATGGATTTTTGTTGTTGGAGGGGTTTTTGAGTAGGTGTTTAGCCACGTGGTTTAATAGCTCTGTGCTGCCTGCCACTTTAATACTGTTTTCTTCTGTTCACTGTTCATTGCTCTGAATTTTGTCTAAGCAGTCTAAATCTCATGTTGTCTTTTTAATATTTTATTTTCTGTAAATAATGTAGTAGATGGCTTTTACTTTGTGACTGGCTTCTCTTTATTGTTGAGAGAAGAGACGGGGTGGAAACTGTTGTTCGAATACACTCTTCATGGAATAAACAAAGCCTCATTGTTTTGTTTTAAGAATAGCAGGAACTTTTTTTCTCCCCAATTAAATGAGGATGTGGACTAATGTCCACTTTTAAGGAATATATTAATGTTGACCTTATTTATACTGTAGTTTCACAAGGACCATCTAATGTGTGTATGTGCACACGTATGTACACACGCAAACACAATATTAGAAACCTTTAATGTAATTATTTCTAAGTGTGGATAAGAATGACATTTTTAAACTACTGAAGATGGAGTTAAATGCACACGTTTTAAGTCTGTAGTCTTTGGAGTCCTCAACGGTGCTTTTGACAATGTTATCCCATATTGAAGAGCCTCATTCCTAAGTATACATTAAGATGTAGGTATGTATAT